ATCGAATCTATGGTTACGAATCAAGCCAAGTCCATTGAACTAAGGGACCTGCAGCAACAGCAAACAGACTCCCATTTGAAATTACTTAGGGATGAACGCAAATCGGCAGAGCTGACTACAAAAGCTCACGAGGAAGATTTTTCTAAACGCCTTGACAACCTTGATCGCATGGTTATAGAGTACGGGAAGACATGCAAGGAGTTAAGTGAAAAAACAGAGTCTCTGATGCGATCCCACTTCGAACGAATCACAAATGGAGCCCCTGCGGTCAGTGCCTCTGTCGAGGTGAGGAATCAGATTCAGAACCTTCGGCAAATTCAAGATGCCAAGGATGAAGCCATAGCAGATGAACTTGATAAATATGAATCGAGAATTGCTCGCTTAGAAGAGGTAGTAAGCAAATTAAAGCAAATGGGTGCACAAAACGAAACGAGCAGTCAAGCATTGGGTATTGGGACGCCTCATGTAAACGCCGAACTCGAACGGTTATGGCAAGCAATAAACGGGTTAAATCAACAGGTGGACAGTCGACTCCAGCGTGTTGAGAACCAGTCACGCGTGGTAGAGGCACATCAAATAGCCCTCCATTCGCTTGAAACACGCTATAACCATCTGTCCACTGAGCCAATTGTTCGGCAGATGGTGGTAGCGATGCAGGAAATGTACCCGCATGCTAGCACTGTGCAGCAGGAGATTCCAAATATCCACGAGAAAACAAACAAACTGGCATCCGAGCTCAACTCCGTACGTAACGATATTAGTACCGCAGAAAGTGCACGAAGAGCGTTAATCAACGACATGACTGCGGAAAGAGATCAAATGACGCAGGAAATCAGTTCTCTTAGGTCCAGGATCGATGAAATTGGAAGCGTGCGGTCGAAGGCTGACGAACTTGAGAAGGCTTTAACATCGAGAATGGACGAAGTGGAAAATGTTGTAGCTACCAACCTTGCGTCCGTGATGCTCAACTTTGACAAGCGAACATCGCCTCCAAAGTCATGACGCGATGCTAAGAGGTTGTGAAACTACCCAAATTTCCATAAGCGCAAAATTTTGTTGAGGTTGTGGAATTGGTACTAGGCGGTTCGAAGTTATCATTGATACCCCGAGGCCGATGGTCAGTCAGTCTGCGCTGGTTCCAAATTCCATAACATCTTACAATACTCATATCATTAGCTTTTTACCAAATCTCTAGGATGATATCCATGTCTACACTGGAATTATTATGATGCGGTCTGCGCGCTTTCACGAGGCTTTGGGTTCTCTGATGTGTTCAATGCAAATATCTAGCTTGTCACAGAACGTACAGAAATCCAGATTTGTATTATCCAATCAGCTGTTTTACCGCAAGTGAGGGAAGGTGCCCGGATTATACTTACACCTACGTCTGTGGTTGTCTGAAATTTCAGTGTCTTCCTTGCATATTGCAGTACTAGTGTCTAATGAGTACAGCGGGCAGCCGAAGGTTGTTCGCAATTATGAACCTGTCTTTGTTGCATTCACTGAATGAACACAAGTCATTAAGAATGTCTAGGATTGAATTAGTTCTTGGAAGCATCTCTATTCTCTTCCTACTTTGTCCGTGGACTATCCTCTTCATTCCCTTTTTACCTTCTTAATCACAGTGATTTGCACGTTTGGGATTCGACGAAAATTCAACAATTGCATCTCAAATTCCGTTCCACGCGACAAACGATCAATTGTGACCATTATTCACCCGGTCTCCAGCCATCTATTCAGCTACATTCAGTCGGCACCATGGCCAGCCTCAAGCGAAGCAAAACGATGCCAGCGGATGGGCACACAGCCAAATTCCTCTACACAATCTTGAAGCAGCTCGATCTCAAATCGGTAAGCATGCTGTTTATTCGGCCCTTTGTTCGGCCCTCACTCCTATCTCCAATTACAAGCAATTACAAGCAGATTGCCTGACATCGTGTGCCAGATCGACTGGAACCTCGTGGCATCCCAACTAGAAATTTCAAACGGCCATGCAGCACGAATGCGATTTTCTAGGTTTCGCCAACATATGGAAGGAATCACCACAACTCACCGCACTCCGCGCCCCAAGAAACACAAATCCGACAAAGCGCAATTGAGAAAAGAGCAACAATTTAGCAAGGCCAAAATAGAAGCCACCGTAAAAACGGAGCAGGCAGTTAAACAAGAACTAGGACCAGAACCAGACATGGCTGCTCAGCCAGCCCACGCGAAGGTCTTGCCAATGGACATTATTGCGACGTCGTCCCCCTCAGAACAATTGCCCTACTTTGTGACAACGGTTGCGCCGGCCGATCTCGCCCTCCCCTTTGCGACCAGTAACCCACCGATCAGGTTTCAAAGCCCACCATCAGCAGTCAGAGACTGGAGCCGAATCAATATGGAAAAGTGTGAGGACGCGACACACACCCTACTTAATGGATTTGTGAAACAGGAATAAGGCCGTGGCAAACAGTGGTGCTATGTGCGGATAGCTAGTGCATCCTTGGGGCAATGGAGACAGGATGGTTATGGTCGTGTGCGTTTACTCGGGGATTGTGGGAGATAGAAACCAGGTGATGTCAAAATTGCGCATGTGGTTCTATGCTGCAGGAGCTCCTCTCCCTTCTCCCTTCGTTGTATCGACTGGCATTTTATTTCCCTGTTGTATTGCCAAGCGCGCATCCTCGCCTCGGACACTCAAACACGCCCTGCAGACTTCCAATTTATCCTCCAGCCTGCCCTCCTTGCCATTTGGCCTTTTGAACATGGGGCAAATTTCTTTTAGATTTTGTCTCTGACCAGTACGCCTTCGTTCCTTGTTTTACCTTGCTTTTCCTTTCTTTTTTCCCCCTGTCTCTTGTAAGGAGGGATAAGTACTCAGCGTCTTCCGAATCGAGTCGACTGTAAGCTCACCGTGGCAAGTCGGGAGGTTATTAGTACTGTACGTAAAACTGCTGGGTAACCTGGCTTCGACTTCGGATGACAATCTATTTTTTGATCCTCTCTCAGCATCCAGTCCGAAAGTGTACACATCATAAAGCAGTCTATCTCTTATACCCCTGAAGCGCTAAACACCCATTCGCTATCTTACTAATTTGCAAAATGTTTCAAAATTCGATAGAGCCCATGGTACAGTACTTCTAATTGCTCAAGTCAGAATATTCAGGGCGTGTTGACCTAAGACATCTTTTCACTCATTGATGCTGAAGGAGGGTGTTCGCTTCACTATCAGCAACAACACATTGAAGTGTTCCCCTCAGTTCCATTTGTAGTTATTTTGCTTTGTGGATATTTTGTTCAGTTAGAAATGAGCTCTCAACTTCTCTTTTAGTATGCTCACCTTCGTTTCCTTTTCTCTCACCTCTACAAATAACTTGTCATTTGCTCTTTACTATCATACCTGCTAACCTCCATCCTCTGCTCACTTAACGCTAGTCCCTTGGAAGCCATTAGTTACCATCCCATACCGTCTTCCTCCCAACCAATTATTGCGCTCAACGCCGGTCCCTCCCAGCATGGCGGATGCGAACAACGGCCCAGGTGATGTTGCGGATTCCAAGAAGAAAGAAACTGACGCTATTTTTATCATGGAGTGCTTGAAGCACCTTCAGACTCCCGCTAGGGTGTGCCCCCCTTACCATGCCAGATCACCTAATCCGCGGGTTCTCTTCAGATGTACTCAATATGTTCTTAGATCGATGTCAGCGCGGTAGCGAAAGCACTTAAATATAAAAACCCCATCTCCGTTGCAAACCGCATCCGTGAGATCCGAAAGCAATTCAATTTGCAACAACACTTGACCTGCTCCACGAATTCTGCCAATGGGGGTGCAACTACGCCTCGCAAGGGGGCAAAGACATCTACGGGGCCCATCAAAGCCAAGAAGGAACCTTCTGAGGAGGGGGGTGAAGATGTCAAGGGAGAAAAGATGAAGCCAGGGAGAAAGCCTGGGGCAAAGCGTGGGCGTAAACCAAAGGCTGCTGCCCTTGAAGAGGATAAACCGGTGAAACCCGCCACCAGTGGTGACAACAATGAAGCGAATAGTACCGCCATGGAGGCCACTGCTTGAGCTCAAAGCCTGATCTGATAATACCATGTTGCAAAGTTTGTATACCATATCGCCCTCACTTTTACGGCTGCATAACTTACGCTGACCAGGTCTTCTCTCACAAGCGTCATGGATAACAAGATCACGTACAGTATATTCATGGCCCATCACTGATACTAGGTTTCGTGGGGAAAGGGATCTTTGTCGTTATGTTCCTTGAGCTCTTCCTTCATTTAGTGGTTATGCGAAGTGGTGGGCGGCTTCGACATTCCTCTGGTCGTTTTCTTCTTTGTTCGTTGTTTCCTACTTGGCCCATACATTTCTTCGATATCGGTTGCTCCTATTCAAGTGCTGATCATTTTATCGAGTTCATGTTGTACCTTGATGTTTTACTCCCCGACTTCGCAGTGGCTGGGTTATCTCATACTTCTACAATCCTTTTTTCATACACGGAAGTTTCTCAACGAGGGCGGCGGGTGATTATGTGGCTAGGGTAGCTCTCAGAGTACAAGACTTTGCGTACTAAACATGCGTTCTTGACATAATGGAATCCATAAAAGATCATCTAAATTCGGGATGAACTAGTGTTCTGCCCCGGCTGATAGCCACCATTCTAGATCCCCTCGACAACTAATCTGGTGCAAAAAGTTTAATCTACTGCAAATTATTTGGTAGAGGGATTATCAAATGTCTAGTCTTCCTTTATAAAATTTACTCTATGTGTTCGTCCATCATGTTCTGGATGGGTGAATGAATGCCACCAATGAACCTGAAGTGTTGTTATTTTTGCCTATTTTTCAACTTCTCAGGGTTGTTCGCTGTCAGCACCTCTCTTAGTTGATTATACAACTCTAGTACTCTATCTTCTTCTACATCTCAAGAAGGGTTTCTTTGATGCAGCATCCCTTCACGCCGGTCAAGCTTGAATCTAGATATTAAATATCTCTCACTTTTAAGTCTTCCTCTCATTCACGGTTTGTTAACAAAGCACTCATCAAGTCATCTTCGTACATCTCCTTGTACTCAGCAAACAGATTCTTGGGTTCTATTGCTCAGATTAGAAACAGTTGCTCAGTGAACTTTCAACAGTATGCTTTCAGTTCTGGTGCCAACATCTGTCCCTGACAAAGCCATGTTTGGCAAACTAACACTCATCCCTGACTTTCTTGTAGAACAGTTAGCTCAAACTTCAGATCCCTCCTCAATTGAGCTCCAATTATTCGTTTTTAGGCTTCACTCTATCATTTCCCAGAAAACCAATAGCCTAGAAAATGCCCGCCGGGAGTGATGAGCAGCTTAACTTCTTGCTGAAATGTGTCAAGTATTCGAGCAACGGCAAGGTAATCCTCAATTTACTCAATATGTTTCGTTTCTTTCCACGACCACACACTATTTGCCGGCCTCATAGCAACAGTTAGAACATGCTAATGATGGTAATACATTAGGTGGATTTCGATCAGGTGGCTCGCGAATGCAACATCGTCAGTAAGGGCGCAGCGTAAGTCATACTTGAGAACGTGCACAGTGAAGTCATATTATAAATGTGCCCATGACATGCTATTCGATGCACGTCCCCTGTCGATGCATGGATTCGCATTTAGCCTCACATCACCAAACCCAGTCCTGCATGCCCGGTCACAATTTAGCCTGGAATGGCGCTGACCATCATCTAACAGAGCCAAGCGCTACGAGCGCTTAATGAAAGCCAATGGCATCAACCCGAACGGCGGTCCAGCTGCAGGACCAGATACTCCTTCTCCACAGGAACCCAACTTCAATAGAACCACCCCCAAAAAGTCGACCCCAAAAACTCCAACCAAAGGAAATAGCACCACTGGCACCAAGACCCCGTCCACCCGCAAGCGCAAGACCATGGGCCAAGCCAATGGCACCCCTAAGAAAACCAAGAGTGAAAAGTTGGTTGGCAGTGCTGATTACACTCATGAGAGCACTGATAGCAATGCACATGTCAAAAAGGGGGATAGTGGTGATAATACCTTTGAAGAGACTGAGAAAGCAATGGTGACATCCGGGAACGACCCGCTTTTGTCTGAGGGTTCCGGAGGTGTCGGAGGGAATCTGGACCGAGAGGATCGAGAGTTGTATAGCCAATTTTGTGCCATCAATACCGCATGTAAGCAGCGTGTTTCAGGTGGTTTAGGGGAGAATGTGAACCCCTGAGGATGAAAGCAGAGAGTACGATATTAATGGTGCCGAGAAGGAGGTTTTGGGGATACTGGACGGAACCGACGAGGAATAGAGTGGGGGTTAATGAATGTGCTGCGATTGGTGGATAAGGGATACCTTTGCCTGTGAGAAGACCCCTAAGAGGTTTGGCCAAATTGTGAAAAATGGGGGGGTGATGTTCCTTTCCCATAGCGCTGTGATTATGTCGAAAGCACCTGGTGGTGACAAGCAACAAAGAAGGCGTATTTTTGGTCTGCACTGGAAGCCACGTTGAAAGGAAATCCGGAATAGGGAATGAAATATTTCGTCGTGAAAGGGATGGAATAATTCATGGAAATTGACAGAGATGATTTTTAGGCATAGAATTACGCTCAAGTAGGGATTCATAGCCCGTGTGGAGAATTAAACTACAGGTGTAAAACCATGCCAAAATTGTGCATTCCCAAACTGCCCAATATCTTGAAAATGCAGGCTTCCGATCCTTTCACTTCGTATAATTGTGACCAGCGGCCAAAGGGAATTGTAGGCATGTCAAAGCAATAGCGTATAATACTTTGCGCATCCAGAAAACAACGGAGAAAGGCAAAGCCCAGCAGGAACAAAATTTCATCGATACAAATATAGATGAACTCATCGGCGGGTATAGACCATGGGATATATAGCAGGTATACAAATGCTCCACAAGCATATAAGCAAACGTCTAGAATAGATTGCTAGAACAAGAAGGGGTATATATCAAATTTAGCCCTTGGCATAAATGGTACATAACGATGTAGAAAATGTAGAGAAAATCTTCATGAAGACAAAAGAATGAAAAGAAAAGAGGAAAACAACCGAAACGCGAATCGGGGTATATAGTAAAATGAGCAACTTAACCAGCATAATGCTCGCTCGATAGTTGGTCTGTGAGTAGACCCACCAAATATCAATAATAGATTAGACATTTAGCCGGAATGGGCATATACAGGTAGATAGCGGGTTCCGTTAGAAGAAGGTCTGCAAGTTTATATACCTTCCATCACAGCCTCAAGGATCTTCTTCTTGTAGTTGGTAAGAGCCAGGTCCTTCTTTCGGTGTTGTTTCCGCAGATTCAAATATCGCTGTTTCCATATTGCTTCAGTAGCAGGTTCATTGATTATATCATCATCCGATTGATAGTCATCAGCCAAAAGAGTCATTACTGTAGGGGCAAGTGGTAGCTCCTCATTCTGGCCGCCTGGAATGGTCGTGTGTGTCGTAAGCCCAGTTGAAACGGTGAGGCCATAACTAAGAATATACTTAAACCCGCCGAATAGATCAGAGGCCAAGTAGCTCCCTGCCCAGGGTGACGCCAATGTGGACGAAGTCCCGAGCTGTGTCTTATTGGTATTGTCGGCGTATGCTGTAATAGTAAGTTGTCCTGGGGGGTAGCCTCCCAACCCTAGTTTATAGCCAACTCCAAGGCACGTTGCGCAGTAGATTTTCTTCACATTGCTCGGGAGGCCGGAGCTGCACACAGTCAACACATGTCTAAGCACCGTTTCGGCGATGGTTTTCGATTCTTTACGACTAAGGGGGACGTCCCGGTTTAAAAGCGTCCCTTGGTGTACGTGAACCGAAAAGGCTTGAACCACATCATGGAGTGTGAAGTCCACTTCGGATGATGATTGCCGTTGCCCATATGCAGGAGATAAGGGCCGATTATGAGTAATTTGCTGGCTTCTCTCAATTTCGCTCAAATCTTGACGTACATGTTCGCCGGCTGTGACGGAAGATCTTCCGTTTTCTCCACTCACTAGAACCGTTGGCGGAGTAGCTAGTCGTACAGGCGCTCCTAAGTGCTGAGGCACTTGTAATTGCAGTCTGGTCGGTCTGCTGTGGGGTTGGAAGGAAGGGGCCAAGGCGGGCGATTCACTATCTCCGGTAAGCGTACTATTCGTTCTGTTCCTTTCGATTAACCCCTGATGATTCTGTTCCGTGCGTTCTGGATCGGTACGTAACGATTCAGTGTGTTTATCTTTTGGCTGCACCGAGAAAGTTGAAAATGGTCCATTTTGGGTTATTCGACTGGCCCCCGGACGACCTCTGGTCTTACCATTGTTTAGGTTGCCAGCGACGGACCATGCGGAGGAAATCGCAGGCCCACGACGTCGTCTGCTACCGACTCTGTCAATCGAGGATGGACTTACGGCGGACCGAGGTTCGATTGACATAGGAATCTCTGATGCATCACGGTACCGAGGAATAATCGCTGACTGGGGATATTGTAGTGCTGGAGAGATTTCTCGCACCGGTACACGCCAGCGCGAGTCAGTTCCCGAGGGCCAAGTGGGTGATGATTGAGCGGATTATCTGCCTGAGTCGTTCCGGGAGGGCAGAATGAGGCCCAAAGGGGTCATGCTGTTCTAAATGGTCTGGAAAGGCGCTCCAAGGGATTGCAGACTGTTGGAATCCTGAGTGAGGAAATGTCTCCGGGTTGTAATTCAATCCGCTACTTTCCAACCCAACGGATGGTATGTTCAGATGAGGTCGCTTAGAAGACTTTGCATCATCCAATTCCACAGCCTCCGCTCTTTTTCGACCCTTTTTAGGCTTCCATTCAGGAAAAAGCGCTCTTAGAGCCAGATCTTCTTCTCGCGGTACACCGTCACGACTTTCCGCGTTGGGCTCGGTTGAAGAGGTTAGCTGGGTATAGTATAGATGTTCATGTCCCAGACAGTATTCAAAAAAGGCATCCACATGCATAGCACGCATCCATCGCTGAACAGTGTTAGACTATGTAGTGGGTAGTGGCTGAGTTAGATGTGAAGAGCAGACTAACGTACCTTTAGCCGCACAGCGTACTGTTGGACTTTTTGGGTACTTTGTTTCTTCTCAACTGATGGCGGTTCGACTCCTAGTTCAATTGCCAGCTGGATCCATGTCTTCAGTTCTTTGCGGTCAAGCTTTTGAATAAGCTGCCACAGTGTAAATATACAAAAGCTTTTACCCTCGCTTCGTGGCGGCATACGAAATATCTTCCGTAATTCAGTGGTATTAGTTCCGGGGGGTACACATCGGTTACAATAGAGAATAAAGGAAACATATGCATCATCAATCGTCGTGTCAGTAATGTCTGGCGAAGGTAATGAACGTGTTTCTACAGACGTTGTGGTTTCAAGGTGCTCGTCCCGAGAAGATACTGAAAACGTGGGGAACGTAGATGTCGCAGAACGAGTTTGGGGATTGGGATTTGCTGCCGAGCGGGGATTCCCAGGGGATGACTGAGTAATACGAGGGGTTTCTCGTCTAATAGTGGAGGGCGACATTGCTTGATCCAACCTGTGATTTTGAAAGTTTGCCGGTGGGGAAATGTTTTGCAATCCAGGATCGTTGGACGAAGGATTCTTGGCATATTGCTGTACTATAAGACGTCCATTTGACAGGCCATTTGGAGCGTCATCATTCGGGGGCGCCAGATGTGGAAAAGAAGAATCCATTTGAACAAACTGGTAGCTGCTGAGCAAGGAATTTATTGAGTTGCTACACGAAAGTGAGCAACTCGGTCATAGAACATATAGATATGAAGGGGTCTAACTTATATAAATAGAGAACAATAGTGAGCACGAAACAATTAAGAACACAGATCTTGCGGTTTTGCTGTACCCCCTTGCAGCTTGAGCCTCAGCAAGCGCTTGCGGTGGAGATCGTAAAGAAGACAGGGCGGGTTGATCGTATGAAGGATACTTCAGCAAGAACAAGTAAGTTATAACAGGCGGTTTTGTGTCAACAAATGGACAATAGTCGCTTATTTACAAGACCGCAACATGGCCTCAAATGATGAGTTCTAATAGAGGACTACTCTCATATTGCTTCTGTTGTTAGTCTAGTCTGGGACGTTGAAGTCAAATGAGGCTAAAAATAGAAGTGTGCTTAATAAGAGCAGCTGTGTGTTGGCCCAGGTGTTACAGGGTGTATACAGAAAACTTGACCTCACTAAGTGTGCCACTTGACCTTGTTACATAATCATGACCCTGACCTTGCACAATACAGTAATAATCAGTTGATAATTGACTTTCAATCTTTCAATTCACTTATAGTCTTATTCATTCAGCTCATTAATCAATCAAAGCATGTATAGTTAATTCATAATTAATTAAATGAATAGATAAATTCATATAGAATATAAAGAGATATTTTACAGAATTTTAAAATATATCAAGATAAAAATATTTAATAATTGATTTTAAATTGATTTTAAATTAATTCTGAATTAATTCTGAATTGATTATAGTAATAAAAATAAATTTAATCTATATATTTAAATAATTAATAATTGATTGAAAATCAGTTGATAATTAATTCAGTATAAATTATATAAATACTTACTTTATTATTAAATTCAAGAATAATTTCAGTATTAAATTGATTTTAAATTGATTTTAAATTGATTGTAGAATTGATGATAAATAATTAAGAAAGAAAGAGTAATTTTCATCAGAAACCGCTCCACCACGAACTCGCTCGATTTTTCGAATAAGAACCCGCCGATAGATTCATCGAAAAGCCCTCGATCATACGAGCATTCTGACCCCATTGCCGACTGCATACCCTGTGTGGTGGTGGAGTTATCCAGCCAAATGTGAACCGGACGTTGTTCGAAACTCCTGTGTGGGATTATCCCCTGTTCTCCCCTATCACACCACAACCCCGGGCCAAAGTGCCATACAAATTGTAAGGTGAAGAGACCTAGTCATATGCACCAATCTTCTCAATTTTGGAAGATCCCTGACCTGTAGTTGTGAAGATATCCGAGGAGTGACCTCTGCGAAAACCCTGTCCATCTTTGATGTTTCAAAACACCAACACCAAGTCTCACCCTTGTACCGCCCTTCCCAAACTGGCCCATCCCTGGCAGAAAAATACAAAAAGATACCTCAGTGATAATATCAAGCACATAATCAACAGACTCTTCTGAAGTGCAATCTCCACAGTCTGTCATCAGTGTATCTAGACTTCAACACCAAGTCTCACCCTTGTACTACCTCTCTCAATCTGGCTCATTCTCAGCAGAATAATACAAAAAGATACCTCAGCAACAGCATTTAATACATAATCAGTAGACAACAAGTCAACAGCATATTAATAACTATAAAATCAGTATATCTCAAGATCTGACTGAGCCTTTGATCTCTGTACAGTGAGATATATTAAATCTAGCTTTAATATCTCAATATTTAATAGATTCTGCAAGAGATTGAGAACAGCAACACTAGATTTCTATTGAATTTAAGAATTAACTCTATATTAATATAATCATTGACAAAGTCTTCTATTTTAAGATATAAATAATCAGTTTCTCTACATCTCACTGACAATATTTATATTATTATATAGAAACAGACTTATATTCTCTATAATATCAAGACTCTGAAGAGAGAAAGTCTTGATAGAGAGTATATAGTAGTGTATATCTTAGCAGTTTCTATTTCATTCTTCTGCAGCAGTTAATGCAAAAAAAAAAAGATCTTAGAAATAGTTTTTTACTTCTCTTGAAAAAGTAAGGTGTTTTTCTCTGAGTTTTATACAATATTCTTACAAAGAATAAAAAACAGAGCTGTTTTCTATCATAATTTCATATTCTTTTAAGTAAGAATTACTTTTTCAGTAACTGAAGAGCTTTCATTAATACTTAATTCTTTTTTATACTCTTTATTAACTGATTTGAGTTGTATACTTGTTGTGTGAGAAGAATTGAATAATTTAGAATAAAATTGAATAGTTTTAATCAATTTCTCTATAAAAAATTGATTTATTTTTTGTTAGTTTTTCTCTCAAAAACTGTCATATTATCTGATTTATTATCAATTGATATCATACTCTTTCTCACTGTATCTCAAGAAAGAGATTGTAAAGATTTTATTGATTTATCTTAAAAATCAATTTTAGTTTATTAGATTCTCTTCAAAAATCTAATCTAGTTACTGAACTAGTGTGAAAAAAATTAGGTGTTTTATACACAAAAGTCTTTTATTCTTCTTTTGAAACAGTCTGATCAACTTTTCAATTAAAAACAGACTTAGAAATATCTCAATTGAAACAGTGTGATCAACTTTTCATTAAGTGAGAATAATGAGTTCAAAAATACACTCAGTTGATGTGAAAAAAGATGTTTTCTCAAATGCTATTTCTGAGATTGAAATTCTGAAGAGAAGAAAGAAAGAAGAAATAGAGAAACAACAAGTTCTTGAAATACAGAAACTTGAAAAAGTAAGCAAGATTCTTGAAAAGCAGTGTCTGAGTGAGATGAATAAAGAAGTTCTGTTAATTCTTTATACTCAGGCTAGACAACTACAGAAGATAATCAAGTTCAAACTTGAAATCTCAAACACAGTTCAAAAAACATTGAAAATTTCTTATATAATCACTGACTCTTCATCTTACTCTTCTTCTTTTTTTTCTACTTCTTCTTCTTCTTTGAATCAGAAGAAAACATATGCTCAAGCAGCTGAATCTGCTGTCTCTAAACCTGCTATCTCAAAATCTGCTCAAAATTCTGAGAAAACTGAGAAGAATACTGTTCATACCTCTATTCATAGAAAAGTGAAAAAGAAAATATAAAAAGAGAAAAACTTTCAAATCTTCAGAAATAGAAGACTTATTCTCAAAGTCTCAAATCAGGATATTCTGCAAAGAAACAAGCTAAACTCAAATCTCATTTTCAGAATTAGAAATGAAATTAATCAGCAGTTCTTTTCTCAGTTGATGACTGATATTGAAGTTCAAAAATCAGTTATAGCTTTAATTAAGTTATCATTCTTTGAAAACTTCATCATTCTGACTACAATGTCTGAATTCAGTGCTGAATTCCTTATTCAGAATAAGAATCTCTGAAAGTCAGCAGTAGAATCTTTACTAAACATAACAATTCTATCTGAGAGAGATGAAAAGTGAAGCAAATTCATTCTTCATAATTATTATTATTATTATTATTATTATTCTTCAATTATAGATGTATGCAGTCAGAGACTATGACATCTACCTGAGAACTTTTAGTTCTCAGAGTTTTTCCTATATCTGTAAAGTTAACTATTATACATTCATCAATTTCAGATATGCAAAATCAGAAAATTTCAGCTCAGAATACAAAAACTGTTTACAAATTGCAGTGTTTTAACATCTTCTGATACTTTGAAACCATTTGACAATATCATGACAAAGGAAAAGAGAACACAGTCTTAAAGATAGACACATTAAATAGATAGATAGAAAGAAACACAGTCTTAAAGATAGACACATTAAATAGATAGATAGAAAGAAATTGAAAGAAAAAGATAAAGTAAAGAAAGACTGTAACAAAACAAATTATTAAAAGATAGTATATAGCTGTTTTAACAGACTATATCTGATTGATTTCCTCCTCTTCATATTCAGATAATTCTGAATTTAGTCATTTTCTTGTAGCTGCTTGAGTTTCTGATAGAAAGTCTATTAAATATTTAATTCCTGTCTCAGTTGAGAATAAGAATCTCATATTTAATTAATTTAGATCATACTTCTCTTTCAATCTGACTCTGAGACTATTGTATAATGCACAGTGCATTACAATATGCTCAGAATTCTCATTTACATTGCAGAATGAGCATTCTATTGAGTCAAATCTATCATCAAATCTTTGTATATAAGATTTGAAATAGTCATGTCCTAGTTTCAGCTGTATTATAGATGAGAATATTTTCTTTTTACATTTAATTGAACAAGATTTCCACTTGGGTTTTGTTTCAAATCTTGAATAATGTATACTCTTCTTTTGTTTCTGCCAGCTTTCATTTCACTTGTCTAAACAAGATTCTTTTATTTTTCTCTTTATAAAAGACCAGGACATAACTTTTTGAATAGATCTGCTTAATTCTGCACCCTTTTTTGCAGCTGAATCAGCCAATTCATTGCCATGAATATTCATATGAGCAGGAACTCAGTGTAAATGAATTATCAGCTTTGATGTTCTTCTCTTTTGAATTTTCAAAACAGAGTTTAAGATCAGTTCAAGATTCATTTGATCATTATGAATCTGACTATTTCTAAGTCTTTTTAAAGCAGCTTAACTATCAGAGAATATTCATGCCTCTTTCAAACTATTTCCTCTTTTATAAGATTTTATTTCTATGAGTTTGAAAGCTTTCACTATTGCAAATAGTTCAGCATCAAAGACTTCAGATTCACAGCCTAGATTTCAGAAATCTGAGATAAAATTGATATTATCTTCAGTATAAGCAATACCTGTATCTAATCTATTCAGATTTTCATTCTTTGAGCCATCTGAATAAATCAGAATAGAGTCTTTTATATTGATTGTAGAAATTCTCTTCAAATGCTGTTCATATTCTTTCTCTTTTGATAGTTCACTTATTTGTAAGTCTATAAGAGATTCAAGCTTTTCTCTCCAGAGAGATAACTTCTCATGATTCACTTTTTCAACATTTAAAGAAGAAAATTGATT